GACTGGAGATCATCCGAAACAGGTCTAATACTTCTAACTCTCCTATTGAGATTTCACCGGATAAACCTGATGAGTCTGTGTCCACTGCTGCTCCCTCTTGTGTGCCTGTTAACATTGATAGTCTATCTGCTTTAAATCCTGAGAAACCTTCTGTAGCAGTTGATCCTGCATCTTTGTCTTTGAGTGAGCCTGATTGTGTAAAAGATAGTGTCTTGCATGTCTCTGATGAGAAAGAGAAATCATCTGAAGAACCAAATAATTTGAGCTTGGTTGTATTCTCTGCTGATAATGTTGTTTTGCCTTCTGCTGAAACTGTCATTGATCCCGCTGAAACTGTCATTGATCCCAAAGAAGTTTTCCCTGCTGATGATCCTTCTACATTACCTGCTGCTGTTGAGACGGTTGACCTCTCAAGTCCCCACAAGTCTGAGAAATCTGGTGAAATCCCAGTCTACACTGCAACTTCGTTGGGTGAAAGTCTGGAACATGTGCACCATTCTGTTGGCCTACCATCTGCTTCCATTCCACAACCATATCGAGTGGTTCATCCATCTGAATCTTCAAGTGAAGATGATAAAATTCTGGCTGAAGTTTATGGGTCTCAAGCTCCTCCATCTGCTCTTCCAACCGTTGAGGCCACTGCTCACCCTGACTCTACAAAGTTCAAAATCCGTGAGGTTACAAATCTGCTTGGTAGCTCTTCTGCACATGTCTTTGACTCCAGTCATTCTGTATCTTCTGTTCACTCTCCTCCTAAGGAGACAAGACGATCGAAGAGAAAGAACATTCATGTGAAGGTTGTAGTTGAATCTGGTGATGATGTTGCAGATACAGATCAACCTGAGAAGAAAAGGAAGTCTGGTGAGCCCGTGAAAACTGAGACCAATCCTCCTGTTCTACAAGTGTTTAAGAGCTTGAGGTCTTCTGTGAAGCAAAAGAGCTCTGTTGCTACTCCAACTACTACTGTTCCACCATCCTCTTCAAGAAAAGGGAAGCCTGCTACTCGTGCCAGGGGAAGGAGTGTTACTCCTGAAGTTCCAACTGTTGAAAGTTCTGACTTGTCCATCTACAGACCACATTTCGTTTCTCCTACTGCTCAAGCCAAATGGTCTACCATGGTTCGAAGAGATTTGATAGTTCAACGATCTGTGGATGAAAATCAGATGAATTCTGTCAGTGATGTTCTGCCGCTGCTGCAAGAAGTTGGTCTGCTGAAGACTGTGTCTGGCATCTGTCCTTACTCAAAATTGCTCACTTATGAATTTTATTGTAATCTAAATGATGAGGTAGACAATTTGTCTGGTGAGCGCCCAATGCAGATCTTTGTTCGTGGGAAGTGGTATGTGTTTGGACCAGATGTTATTAACGAGTACTATGGTCTGCAAGGAGTCCAAGAGGACACTATCACTGATTGGGATGCAGTGGCCAAGACTATAACTGGTGGACAAGCTGACAAATGGCCAACTGGAGATAAGGATATTTTGCCTAGCTCGCAGCTCACCTCCAAATATGTGATACCACATCGACTTGCATTGCACAACTGGCTTCCTTCCGCTCACTTCCACACTGTTGGCAAGCAATTAGCTGGTCTCCTTTTCAGAATTGGAATGAAGATGACTATTGATCTGGGGGCGTGGATATATTATCACATTCTCACTCTGATCCACCCAAGAGAACAAAAGGTACGGCTGCCCTTTCAAAATCTGATCTTTGGTATTCTAACAACTCAGGGTCTTGTACCTATGCCAAGTGAGGTGATAAGTCCTACTCTCCTGTACACGGTCGACCGGCGCTTATTGAGTGGTGATCATATTTGCGATGTTATACCGGTGTCTGGCCCCTCCAATTCTGAGACTGAAGCAGTGACGGATGATTCTCCACATGCACGGGATCTTCAACTCTCCATCCATCTGAAGGCTCGAGTTTCTGAGCTTGAAACGGTACATGGTATAATTGCAAGACAGTTGACAGGAGCTCGGACGGAATTGGCCACTGTTCTTCTTAGATTGAGCCTGACAGAAGCTGCTGCTGCTGATCTAGCAAAGTCTGATAGTGAGACTCCCTCCAACGCGTAATTTGGTTTGGCTCTCCTTTGGCAAAAAGGGGGAGTAGTGAACTCAGGGGGAGTTTGTGATTGGAGTTGTTTTTGTATCTTCTGGCCCTGTCTGGGTGTTGTGTGTTTGTGATGGCATCTGGTTAAACAATGGTCTCTTGACTCTACTTTTGTTTCAGCATGATGTGTATGTTGTTTTTCTTGTCTGCTTTGTAATCGAATTATTGGTTTGGATAATCCATCTTAGTTGTTTTTTATTTTTATATGCTTTTAAGTAGTCGAGTTGTTTTGCCAAATAATAGCCAAAGGGGGAGTTTGTTAGTGTTTTATTTATTCAAAAACCCCAACTTATAATTGACAATATTATTATGGCATACTAAGATAGGATTCAGTCTAGAGTCTGTTTTGTAGGGATGTCAATTTAGCTCGAACCCGATGGGCCAACCCGATAAAATCGAAACCGACAGGGCTATGGCCCGAACGGGCTAGCCCGATAAAACACATTAGCTCGACGAGCCCGAAACCGATTAGCCCAATGCCCCGATAGGGCTAGCCCGAAATTAAAAGGGCTAGCCCGACAATCCGAACTATTGAAAACTATTCTATTATAGAAGTGATGTGAAACATAACATATATGAAATAATTAATATAATTAAAAAAAGAAAGAAAGAATTAAATAAATAAATAAATAAATAAATATATATATATATATATATATATATATATATATATAAGTAATGCTACTATACAGTAGCATTACGTTTATATATATATATATATATATATATATATATATATATATATAATTTAAATTAAAATTTAAGTTTTTAGTTTTTCTTAAATTTAAAATAACATTAATTTAATATTTTAATTAAAAATTAATGAGGACGGGATTCTTGTCAAATTTTCCGCGGGAACGTAGATAAGGGCTATTTTCAATTTCTCAATTTCTTGTTGAGGACGGAGACGGGGAGTATACTTCCCGCCCCGCTATTATTCCTACTCTAAATATGAGTACTCACTTTCAGTTTCTAATTTTAGTTCAGATTGTTCAACCCGCCCGATTAGCCCGACAATCCGAAGTTTAGGGTTTGGGGCAAAATCGAACCCGAGAATAAAATATTAATTAATCGATTAGTCCGAACCGATTAGCCCGACAACCCGATAGGGTTAGCCCGAAATTGAGTGGGCTGGCCCGATTGACATCCCTACTGTTTTGGTCTACAGAGGACTGATTAATCAGAGACAACAACAGAGAGACTGACACTGAAGATCTGATTTAGGAAGCTGTTTTCTATAAGGCTGAACGCGGTATGAGCAGACAAGTTTGGAAAGAAGATCAGCGAATATTTTCGGGAAAGGTATGGACCTAATCTTCAAAGATTACATTCCTATATTGCAGTCCTACCTTCTACAATCAAAGATATCTATGGAGAGTGTTTATTGGTGGAACTATAAGTACTCTTATTCATCAAGAATTAGGGTTACGACTTTGAGACAGAAGAAACACTCCATATAGTTTTTATGAGATCTCATCTTTGATTCGACTGCACCTTCTCAACACAATATGTGTATGGTGATTATGATGATGAACATGAGAAGGACACTGGTTGCTTAACCGAAAGGACACTACGATCACAAGTTGTGGGAACAACTAAATAGAGCGTCACTCAAGTGGACTGCATTAGAGTTGGCTCTCCAAGAGAAGGGATTTCCTTGGACTTCTGGATGCATGGCTCTCCATCTTCAACAATCCACTAAATCTATGTAGACTGGGTACGTACCTTGTGTGGGGCACTTGGGTGAGATTATTGTTTCTCTACCGTTGTACATTTGATTATGTTATAGTGGATTGGACGCCTAAGTGATCGTCCCCCAGACGTAGATACACACTGTATTGAACTAGGTAAACATCTTGTGTGTTGATTTGTTATGCTGTCTCTCTCGTTTACTCGTACTGTGATCTATCTTACTGATTGATCTTATCAACAAATCAGTCACTCTAATTCGACAGTCTAATTACATTAAAATTGACTAAGAGTGAGAGAATGCAAAATTACATTGTTCAAGTATGATAGGAATATTTTTGTAAGTTTTGATGAGCCAAATGTATCTTTAGATCCCCTTGGTCTTTTGGTCTTTAGTACAAGCATCATAAATCAGAATATTGAAATCAGAAGGAATCTACCATAGGAAGAACAAAATTAATTTGAAAAATTAATTTTGGTCCTACGAGTATTCATCCGTGAAAGAAGCATAAAGCAATGGCGTTGCAAGGAATGATCGGATGAGCCTAACGGTGAAATGGTAGAGGTCCTTACTCTAAACGATCACACCCGACACTACTACAAAAAAGGGCTTTAACGTCGGTCTTTTTACCCCATTTAACGTCGGATTTCGACCGACGTCTAGGTAGCAGACGTCGTAAGTATGAGATACGACGTCGGTTAAAAAAACCGACGTCGTATAATTTTTAAATTTTTAATATTAACATACGACGTCGGTTATTAAGTAATAACCGACGTCGTATAGTTTTAAAAATATTTTTAATTAAGAAACGACGTCGGTTTTTTAAAAAAACCGACGTCGTATATTTTTAAAAAAAATATAATAAATTCACATAAGACGTCGGTTTTTTCTTAAAAACCGACGTCTTATGTTCACTTTAAAAAATAAATAAATAAATAAACAACGTACGTCGTTTATTTTTTTTTATTAAAATTTAAACGAGAATGAGAGTACCAGACAAGAACTCCTCCCAACAGCACTGTACATGGATATTTAAGGATGATAAAAAAAATTGAAGTACCAAGCAACAATTTCAGATTTAGCAAACACTTCAGGCATATCAACTAGCAAAACTAAAAGGAGAAATAAATAAAGAACAGTGAAAGATAGAAGAAAAGTCTCAAGTTTAGATGTTATACCTTGCATTGGGGTTCCACAGTAAGACTAGTGCTCTGTTGAATTTCTTCGATTTCCAGATAAGCATTAGAAGGATCTTCTATCATATGTTCAATGCTTGACAAATCACTTTTACCACCTTTATAAACATAATAAATAGAGGCAATGTATAAGCAATATGAATCCGTTCATTAGTTGCTAATAATTAATTTCTCTCCACATAAAAGATCACCCATCTATATGACACTATTATCTGAATGATCACTGCCATGGCTGTCAATACAACGGAGGTGCATGATGAGTGTAAAGATGTAAATAAAATAATCGTCATATGTTTGGAATGAAGTTTGAAGCACTCATAAGAAAATCCATATTTTCACCTTGCTCCTATACTGACAAGGTCAATAGTTTTCAGTCATGTACGAATTATTAGTATATAATAATTTAATTAACATGCAAAATGATCTTCCTAAGAAAGAGATCATCCTTCTCTTTCTAACAAGACGAGCAACATTCAACCATGGAACCTCCTAAAAGCAACAGCAAGGGAGTAGCCCAATTATGGGAGAGATGAGAAAAGGATAACATTTGAATCAGATTGTCATACTTCAATTGAAAGAACGTCCAAACCAAGTACACATTGAGAACGCAAAAGAGAAAATGGATAATAATTGCAATTTTCACCTAAGCCAAAATTTGATAGGTATCATTTCCTAGCATGCATATTGAATCGACCAATTATGGATTAGCCGGTCCTTAAATTATCTAATTTCTTGAAAAAATCATCTTAAACTTAAAATAGCATGCGTATAACTTTATTTTCAACTAAGTGGGCTATGTGCAATGGCCACTGAGGTAGATGAAACAAGATATGAGTAAGGAGCAGACCATGTAACACGGTCTCAATAGCCTTGTTACACTTCATGATTTCAGCTTCCACAATCTGTTGTTGCTCCCACTGTAAATAAATAAATTAAAATGAATTTAATTTAGCATGTCCAACTGCAAGTTCATTAAAGGTTTAACTAATATCCAAAGAATATCCATATAAGCAACCAAGGAATACCTTGGTACACAAACTTGCAGTCTCATCCTCCCCCAACTTAAGCAACCAAAGAATATCCATATAGTAACTCAAGATATATTATTGGTGCAAACCATTCAAGTTGTGTAATCTCATGCACCTCTACTACTCACTAGAATACTAGATTATGAAACCAGAGATCTTACATCCTCTTCGATTAATCAAGTAGCTCTAATATAACCATAATATGATCAAACAATTCAATGTAAAATAGTTTGAGGCTAGTCTTGCTCATATAACAGAAGAATATAATTCACAGTATGTGCACATCTTTGTCAGCCACATTTTTCTTTCAAAAGCGCAAAAGTTATGTTTTTCATAAGAATTTTTGAAATTCACGACCAACTCTTAACCCACAGGTCATTTATTCAATCCCTCAAAGAATAGATTTTAGGAGTGAAATAAATAGTCTCAATATAAAAAGGTTCGCCCTGACTATCTTCTTCATGTTATTATCAGTTTATTGGCACTATTAGTAATACTATGAATACTACTGCTTTATCACAATACAATTAGGAGCAGCCTGGAAGAAGATAAAGAGAAATTCACCAGCTTGGAAAGCAACTTCAATATTGGTCAGTTTGATATCTTTATAAGCAAATGATATAATAATCTTCAGTTTCCATCTTCATCTTCTTTGTATCCATTGCGCTGAAAACCACAAGAAATACTAGTCGATCACAGATAAAGATTAAAGATATGCACCCACTATAAGGCTGATTTGCTTCCTTCCCTAAAACCAATTCGAGTTTACACAACGAAACTAACAACAATTAGGGAAGAGCAACTGACAACAAAGATGCAGGCATCAATGATTAAGCAACTAAATGCAATACTTTTTTTTTTTTTGAAACGTGCACAACATTAGTATAGTTGTATATATAGATATAGATACTGATTACACCGGCATATAACAATGAAAGAATCATATTTACACTACCCTAAGAAACACATTTGAAATAAATTTAGCTACAACAAATAAAAGAAAGGTGCAAACCTGTTGTGACTCGGAACACATGATCACGATCACGCAGCTTCTTGTGCTTCTTCTTTTTGGCACCTCCAGACTTCACATCTAGAGCCTTGCCCTTTAGCTTCAACTTTCCAACAACTACATTTTCATATGCCGACATTTTTCCTGATAAAGTTCCACAAGTATGCAAGTAGACTACCTAATATATCTGCATAAAATAAAACCAGTTAATTAGACCACATCTCCACCCTAAAAGGCAGGGATTAGACAAATATGCATGTGCAACAACTCTTCCTCAGATCTAAGCCATTAGTGCTAGATTAATTACATAGACAATGCCCTTAATTTCATAGAGCGTTCCTGATTGCGGTAATTGCAAAATTTTCAGTACAAATGTTCGTAGATAGGCAAATAATTCTACAAAAATAAGCTTACCGCAGTGTGCGGCGAGGTGACTTCCGGCGACCAAGTGCGGCGAGGCGATGTCCGGTGAAGCTTTTGCGGCGACGCAACGCGACGGCTTGGGGCAGCTGGCGAATACGAAGTTGAAAGGGGCGACGGCTGACTGTTGCGGCGGCTGGCGAAGACGACCTCGAAGTGGGCGGCAACAGTGGCGACGATAAGAAGGGCTGGAGCAGTGGCGATGGTGTTAGGCGACAGTGTAGCGTGTGGTGTGATGGGGCGGCGGTGTGATGTGTTGAAGAAGAAGAGATCTCTTTTGTTCGAATAAGCTGTATATCTAGGGTTGAATTAAAAATACGACGTCGGATATAAAAGTAGCCGACGTCATATATTTAATAATTTATTATTTTTTTTAAAAAATAAAGGTTACGGCGTCGGTTTTCTATACGACCGACGTCGTAACCTTAATAAAAATAAAAAAATAAAAATCGTATACTATACGACGTCGGCTCGTTAGTTAGCCGACGTCGTATAGTATATTTATTTCTTTTTTTAATTTTAAATACATATAAAACGTCGGTTGTCTCACAAAACCGACGTCTTATGTATTTTTAAAAAAAATTTAATTAATTTTAAATTTTTAACGTCGGTTTTTTAAAAAACCGACGTTAAATTGGCGACGTTATAAGTGTTTTCTGTAGTAGTGCGAGATCGATTCCCCCCCAAGGACCTATATTTTTAATAAGGCAGATTTTTGAAGGAGCACAATGTGTGCTAAAGGAGCACAATGTGTGCCAAAGGAGCACAATGTGACCAAATATGAAAAGAGCACAATGCAGCTAAGGAGCACAATGTGTCCGAAGGAGCACGATGCTCACCAAAGGGTCACAATGTGACCAAATCTGAAAAGAGCACAATGCAGCTAAGGAGCACAATGTGTCCGAAGGAGCACGATGCTCACCGAAGGAGCACGATGTGACCAAATCTGAAAAGAGCACAATATGTCCGAAGGAGCACGATGCTCACCAAAGGAGCACAATGCGAAGAAGCACAATGTTGTCTATAAAGCACAATGTTGTGCCAAAGAGCACAATGCATCAAAAGAAGCACGATGTTCAAGTCAGAGGAGCACAATGTGGCAAAAGAGCAAGATGATCAGAAATTGGATAAATTCGAAGGAATTTACTCCAAGTCCACCCACATGCCACAAAACTCCAAAATTGCCTGAAAGATATTTGATCAGAACGGAAAAATATTTATGAAGGCTTGAATATAAAAACTTATCCTAGAAATAAATTCTATCAGATGAATTTATTTCAAAGATTCGTTGGATATTCAAATTGACAATTAAAGTAATATTTTTAGAAACAACTAGAAAATCAAAGTTGTGCTAAAAATAATTACTTTGTCAGGCAAGTTGACAAATCAAATCAAAATTGAAGATCTACTACTGTCAACAATATCAGGCTATGAAGATTCAAAATTCAAATATCAAATTATCCCACTCCAACGGATATATTTGATTGAGTATAAACAGCCATGAAGACTTGAAGACAAAGAGCGTGAGAAGAACAAAAAAAAACGAGATAGAATACAAGTGCAAAATTCAAAAGTGCTAGTGCTCAAAATATTCAAAGAGACTTAGTCTGAATAGTCTCAAAATCTAGTTGGAGAGAGAAATACAAATCCTTGTATTTGTAAATTGTAGAAAGAGTATAGCTGTGTGCAAAATACTCTAGTGAGTGTAGCTGTGTGCAAAACACTCGTAGTTGCTAAGTGTAGCTGTGTGCAAGACACTTAGTTGGCGTTTAGTATAGCTGTGTGCGAAATACTCGGAGTTGAGTGTAGCTGTGTGCGAGACACTCGGAGCAGGGTGTAGCTGTGTGCAAGACATCCGGAGGAAGTGCCTGTGTAGCACTTGTTCACTATTGTAACTGTGTGTGGAAAATAGTGAATTTCTCCTAGAAGTGAAAGGAGAAAAGTGGACTAGGAAGATTACGCCACTTCCGAACCACTATAAATTGCCTCTCTCATTTACATACCACACTTACATTATTTGCTACATTTATCTATCTCATCCGTCTAACCCGTTTACTATTCACGATTAATCTTTATCATCCGGGTTTAGTGTGTTCTCACGTATGCATGTGACTTAAACTTCTCGAGCTTAAATAGTGATTTATTCTAAGCACGTTTGACGTGTTGCATGTAACATTCGTCACACGTTCGACGTGATACGATATTTATTTACAATCTTGAATATTGTTATTATATATTGAGTGAACCATCTCCTTTATATATTCAAGATATCTCTGTCACTTTACATATCATTTGTACCTAACTTACTTATACCTGCACACTTAATTTACTAGTTGGGCATAACTCTTATTCCGCTGTGCAGTACAAACTTGCTCTATTTACTTGTTACTTAGAGTTGAAGTTATCAAAGAGTTAGTTAATTTGAAAAAGCTTGAAAGTCTATTCACCCCCCCCCTCTAGACTTTCACCACCCTATCGGGACCAACAATTGGTATCAGAGCGGTTGTCTACCTGAGTCAATTTTGACTGCTAGACAGATCTCGAAAAATCAAGATGATGAAAAGAGATAATGCTCTTGCCCAAAATTTATTATTTTCTCTAGAAAAATTTGACGATTGGAAAATTCGTATGCAGGTACATTTATCCGCATTACATGATGAAATGTGGGAAGTGGTTACGAGTGGTCCTATTGAGATTTTACAAGTCAACACTTCATCCGAACAAACGAGTGAAACTCCACAATACATTCCAAAACCAAAAGTGGAATGGTCTCGTGAATATAGAACAAGAAATAACTTGGACAATATTGCCAAGGATATTTTGTTTAAATCTATCGATGACACGATATTTCCAAAAGTTCGAAAGTGTCAATCCGCGAAGGAAGTTTGGGAAACGCTCATTCAAATTGGTGAAGAAGACGAACAAGAAAAAGATAATAAGCTCACTATAGCATTAAAGAAATTCGAGGATTTCAAAATGCTAAACGGCGAGAATATTACCGATATGGAAACGAGATTTGCCAAAATCTTAGGAGAGATTAATGATCTTGGAAAAGATATTAATCAAAAAGAAATCTCACTCAAAATTCTACGTGGTTTACCATCTACATGGGACATGAAGGTCACGGCCATGAGAGATCATAGGGATCTAAAAACTCTATCAACCGATAAGCTCTTTAGTGATCTAAAAGCTTATGAATTTGAGATGAAATCAAGATTAGAGGAAGATCATGAAGAAAAGAACAACGCGCTTATAGCCGAGCAACCATCAACCTCAAGGTCAGTACAAAATGTTGAATTATTGCCTAATGATCAATTTGCTCTCTTTGTCAAGAAATTCAGGAAATTCATGAAGAGAAGCAACTACAAGAAAAATCTACAAGGGAAATCATGGAATACAATGAAGAATTCGAAGAAAGAAATTATTGAGGAAGATTCAAATTTGTGTTACAACTGTAGAAAACCGGGACACTTTGCAGCAAGTTGTCCATATCCCAAGGTGAGTAAAAGTCAGTACACAAATGTTACTAACCCTCAACAGGAAGAATTCAAGCCCAAAGATAAAAGATTAAAAGAAAGAAGAAAAGCACTCATCAGTGACCCACTTGAAATAAGTGAGTCAGAAGAATCTTCAAGTGATGAAAGTGACACCTCAAAGGATGACAATGCAATGTTTTGCATGAGCATCTCCAACAATGCACCACACGAGGACATGTGTCTTATGGCTAATGGACATGAAGAAAATGAGGTAACATCTAAATCTTATGACTCTGTCAACTCTTCATTTTCTAGAGAGTCCTTCTTTCACTTAATGGAAGAATGTCAAACTGTGATGGACACTCACTCTCAACTCAAAGAGCGCAATAATCATCTGATTCTTGAAAAGGATCAATTAAATGAAAAATTGCAAAATGCTCTACTTGAAGTGAAAGACTTGAAAGATAAAATTATTTGTCTTCAAGAAGAGTGTAAATCAAGGGAAGTGAGAGAACACAACCTCAGGGAGGTTATAGCTACATTTACACATTCATCCAAAATAATGGACAAAATGGTAAATATGCAAAAACCCTCAAGTGATAAAATCGGACTTGGTTATGATCCATCGTGTTCTCAAGCCTCCGAAAAATTGACCAATTCTACTACTACTTTAAGTAATAAAGTTCAAGTAGTAAAATTTGTAAAAGGTCAAGAAAGCACAGTGAGACAAGGAATTGGTTACCAAA